ACATATGTATAATGCACCTTAATGATTTGCCTTATGTGATATCTCTAAAGTCAATTCAATTTTAAAATACATAATATTATGATAAGGAAATACTCCACTCAATACCGGAGTATGAATTCATTTACGAACTTAAAAAAAACTAAAACGACTTTTTAGATATAGTTGCTTTGCATCAATATGAAATGCATAAATGGATTTAAATATTATAATTATTTTATTATAAATATTGGTCCAGAGCCCTTATGCGGGGTAACAAATAGCTTCACAAATAGCTTATTATGTGAATTGGAGAAACAACATCTACTTGAACACTGGAGAGCCCAAACAGGCATGCGACATTCAAAAAGATTAATTGATGCTGATCACATCAAAGTTGATGCTATCCGTGACCTTAGCAGAAAGGATATTAAAATATACACTGAACTTCTTACAGTCTTACTGTAGACTTAATTACCACATGAAGAATATAGGTGTGGTAGAAAGTGACTCCTGTTGACTCTGTTATGAGGAGAAAGAAACATCAGAACATGTTCTATGCAACTGCCAAGCGGTGGGAAGACGTAGACTCGATTACCTTGGAAGCGGGATCTTAGTCCCAAATCAAATCAAATCAAATTGCTTAAATCAGCAATTACAAAATTTATAAAAAGTCTAAAACTGTCCCAGTAGGGCCTTTAGGTGCACAATAGATCTTTTAGGTCGGGGTGCTTTCATAGCCTATTACTTAAATAAAAAAAAATTATAAATATTATAATTCATTTTATTTGTCGACTGTTTTTATTTGCTATAATCAATAAAAACTGAATTTTTATCAGTTTAAGGTTTTGATGCTACATTAAATCGTATTTATACTCCATGAACCTCGTTATTAAGTGAATATAGGTTTTCGTCTGTATTTATTTCCTAATATCTATAGAGATCATATAAGAAAATTAAGATATTTTTTGTGACTTGAACTTGTTTTTGTAAATACAATGAACCTAATTTATTCATAGAAATAAGTCATCTCATATATTATCTTGTAGTATTAAGCATCTGAGTGGACATTTGACTTTAACAAAATTAAAATAGGCTCACATTTATTATTATTCAACTTACGCCATATGTTCATTCAATTCTTCAAAAACTTACTTTACAAAATCTTATTAATATCTTTCTAATGCAAACTCTTGGGTTTTTTTAAACGTTGTGATAATGTAACAAAAGTACACATTAAGATAATATTTTTGAACTATGCTTATACGTAAAATTATAAAAGATAACATAACGAAAGTCATTTCCTTTTGACTCTAATAGTATACGTGAAATAATATTTGAGTAACAATGTATCTCTAAAGCTGAACTAAAATCTTTCCATTTTACTTCCTAATAAACACTTATTAAATCTTAAATATATTTAATTACATTACTGCACTTGTAATGCCTTTTATTCTCCAATATACGAGTATATGTTGAATTTGTTTACAATGGACTCAATCAACATTGCATACTAATTGCACTGTTGATTTTAATGCCAATGGAACGCTTGCAAGGAACATTAAATGCATTTGGAATCATTAAACTTACTTGCCACTTAGTTGCGTAAATTTGGTTTGTCCAGTTGTAAATAGTGAAACTGTCATATTTGTGAGGAAGTCATGCTTGGTTCAAATCACTTGAGTGGACAATGTATGTCCTATATTTGGGTTACATCTACTCAACTACACTTGCAGACTCCAAATGTTAACAATGTTGCAAACATGAATGATTTCTATTCCAACAATTTGGTATCGCACAACAACAACAATAACAACAACTCAAGTGCAACAATAGTAGCAACAAGAAGAAGTTGACACTTGACAGCAAGAATATAAATTTTGTTGTGAAATATTAGGAAATGACTTGATTGGATACAAATATGCTAAGTACAAAATATTATGACTGATTTATTTGCATACATGGGAGATCTACGATGACTGATGATGAGCTGATGAAATTTGTAGAATGAATTCAAATTTGAAACAATGATGAATATTTAAATTTATAACATGTGTGCTATCACAAGTTCTCTATACTTTATAATTAAATTGTAGTTAAATATTTTGCCTTTATTTTTTCTTATATATAAATATATACTTCCTTATAGATATAAATATATTCAATTAATTATAAATTTAAGCACCTAAAAATGTTAACTCAATATTTAATTTTAGTTTTCTTAAAGCTGTACAGTATGAAAAACTATATATGTAAATATCTTAGCAATGTTAACAATATTTGCAGCTCCAATATCTTGTTTTCGAGTAATTCTTCATCTTTCTAATTTCCTACATCCACTAAATCAATCCTTTTCACCCTTTTCATCCATATATTTCTTAGTCTTTATCCAATTCGTAGCCATTTATTTTCTTGTCAATGTTTGCATTTATAAACAATAAACGCATGAATCGTTTTCGTTTTGTGTATTATTAAATTTTACTCAAATTGTGCCTAAACTGTCCTCAGCTTAGTGAACAAATGGGCTATGGCAAGATAACCAACGAATATTTTTGTAGTCTCTATTTGCAGTCATTGGTCAATCTTTAGTCTTTCAAAATTTGACAGCTGCCGAGAATTTTGCTCTGCTGTACACTCATATATATACATATATAGACAAAAACAATAACATATATATAAATACACACTTCGATTTATACACTCAAGAAAAAAAGAAGTGTTTTTAATGGACCGCATCTGTTATTTCATATGATTCTACATTATCAATAAAATTATAATAATGAAACTTAAAATAATATATATCCCCTGGCATATGAACATAAGATAGATAAGAATAAGATAGACATAAGATAGACTGACCTAACATTGTGTCCTTACATTACTTTTTCAATTGCTGAAAATGTAGAACCTTTCAGGCAAAACTGACAAGCCATTCAACATGATTATCATTTCTTTAACCCAAATAACATAAAGTCTCACTATTCTTTTATATATTCAAAAAACACATCGTTGTCTTCTCATATCTACGAATCAGACACACTTTCGTCTCCTCCATACACCAATTCTCTGGTAGTGGTCAAGTACTTTGCCTCTACAGTAGTTTCATATCACCTCATTATATCCTTTCTGTCACTTCTTTTCTAATCATTCCGATCTTAATATTCCTTCATATCATCTAGAACTTTTATGTCCCCCATACATCAACAAGCGCTTAACAACCGTGCCTCTCCAATAGTCTCATATCACTTCCTCATATCCTTGATTCCTGCGGCATCTTTTGTAATCAAACTTTTCGTCGCAACTTTTTGTTAAAACAAATTAAACTAATTTAGTAGATGAAAGATAGGTCATCAATTGGTACTCTCTGCGTATTTTCAATAACGATGATTTTTCAAAACTTTATTAAAAAAATGATTTAATATTAAATTATTATAGATGAATAAAAATATGAGGTGAAAATTTATAGTATTCTGATTGGATAAATAGATATCAAACTTGCAAACACTTTATTTCTTATTTACTTACTAACTCATCTGATCATACCAACCCGTTACCAGATTTTGGCCTGATGTAGCAAGGCTCTCTAGGTTTCTCTGCTGCGTGCGGGTCTTCTCCATTAAGAATAGTACGTCGTCAAAATAATCACTCCATGGGATACACGGTCTACCTCTACGCTTTCTTCCTCCAACTACTGCTTCAAACACATTTTTCACTAGACCATCTTCATCCATTTTCGTGACGTGTTAATTCGCTGAATTATATCAATGTTATGATAAAGCTCGTACAGCTTAAGGTTCATTCGGATGCGAGACAAAGATCTTACAAAGAAGATCTTTTATATTTTCTTATAAAAGATATAAAAATTACAAATACTTTATTCCTATATATTCCTTTGTTTATGGTTAATGTAACAATTGTGGCCATAACTTATAAATAAACTTAAATTTGAAAAGTCCATTTAGCAGTTTATCTGTTGTGCTCGGTGTGAAAACCCTCTCTTGCCCTTCTTAACTGTCCTTTTGAGAACAATGTTTTAAACTTAGTCATATCATATCACACTATTATATCTTTTTTACATATAATATATTTTACATATACTTATACTTATCAATAATATCAATAAGAACAGAACTTATTATCCTTCAACTATAAAAACTTAATATTTGTTTTATTCTTATTACTTTAACTTTATTATAACATTTACAAATTTCTATTATCTTATTCAAAAATGTATTTGTTTTTTTTTTGAGTATAAAATCTGTACAATTTCATTTAATCATAACTAATTTTTTCTGTTTGCATAAATCTTAATTTTTCAATTTTCGCTCAAAGTTGTTTTTTATTCTTTTTAACTGTGCTCCCTTTCTAGAGGTGCTTGTCCCTGCTCCGTCAACAAAACATGTGTGGACCCAAATCAATCATGCAACTGTGATGTAAAGGAAAATAAATGGCACTCAGACGAAGGATACTATACAGAACCACATAGTTTAGGCATAACAAATATGTTTTTCCTGCAACAAAAAGATTTGGACGAGGAAGCACAGGGACGTATAACATTAGGACCATTAGAGTGTGTCGAAACAAGTAAGTAGCAATCATGTTTTTCCAATAAAAAAAATCACAGAAGTAATTAAATAAATTGTATTAATTTGTTAATCATTTTATATATGTAATATTTATTTTATTTATTTTTAATACTGTACCATCAGATACACAAAAATATGTTGTGACTTTTACCACCTCACAGTCTTACATCGAAGTGCCCGGTTGGCGTAAAGGTGATATTGCGTTTTCCTTCCGTACAACAGGTGAAAAAGCCATATTGCTTTTTCAACCGCCTATTCGACCATATTATCCTTCATTTATGGTCGCACTTACCGGTGACTATCAGTTGACATTCAACTTTACACTAAGCACTGGCACTACACGTGAATTGGTGATAAACTCACGTCGCAAGTTAAACGGTGGTGAATGGCATAAAATATGGATTGATTACAATGAGTATCATGTACGTTTCATGATAAATACAGACTCTCAAATGGTTGACCTACTGCCAGAGGAGGAGTTCGGCCCATTTGAAGGTAGCATGTATATTGGCGGCGCAACAGCGTAAGTAAAATATTATTTTTTTTATTAAAAAACAAACTTATGAGTGCTTACGGAACTTTTACTGAATTTTGAAATTTTTTTATTTCTTATTCCAATTATTGACAGTTATTAACAATAATAGCTTTATTTAAATCTTGTTTGTAGAATTGTTTCAAATTGCACTTCTATCAATTAGGAGGTGATGAATCACCTGCTAATTATTTTGCCATCAGTTGATTGTGATTAAGCAAATTCCTCACGCATAGTACATATTATCCGTTATCTATCTAATAAAACCTAATAAGTACCCTATTATCTGTTTTCAAAATATGACACGAAATATAATATATCCAGATATCAGAAGAACGCCACTAATGGAATACTTATCTGCAAATAAGTTTTAAAGGTATCTCTTTTATACGGATGTATGGTATGTGGGAAAGCAGTCAAATTTTCTCTCATAAGTGAACTTAAAATCAAATCACATCATCTTATTCCCAATTTCAAGGTTGCTTTAGTCTCTACGATTAGAAGCACTCTTACTTAATTCCGTATTCCAGTAAAACGTGAATGGTGGTCTTAAATGACACTGTGCACCACTAGCTCGATTGAATTGAAAAACATATCAAATCCGTTTAATATCGCAAAAAGTTTCAGATATAGTTATTTCTTATTCTATTGCTCCATAATTTAATATTAAAAACGATAACTCGAACATCAGATTTGAATCGCACGAGCATAATAATTACCAAACGTGTGATTCTTATATGGTATGCCAACGATATTCATATTGTTAGTTAAAGTACATAACCTATTTCATCCAATGAAACCAATGGGTTGTGTAAAAAATAGAACAAAACTCTCTGTCAGCAAAAAAATTTTCTGATCGTTTCCAAACTCACGCCAATGTTGACAACAATAACTCCGAAATTTTGAAAGACTTTAAATACATTAAAACTAATGACTGCTTAGATATTCCACAAAAACTCACATTTGTCAATATCTTCAACTTTGGTCAAAGTAACCAAACGAAAATTATGCTCCCATTATGCCTCTACTGCTATATGGTATTGAAGATGGAACATTAACCAACGGTGATGAAAAGGCATAAAAAGTATTCCAGAGAAAGGTTATTTGGAAAATCAATGCCTCAGTAGAAAATATTGATTTAGATGGAACGATGAATTATGTGAGCTATACCACAACATTAACAAAGTTAAAATTATTAAAACTCAATGAAATCGGTAAATTAGCCTTGTTGTACGAGTAGGTAGAAAATGTTTTAGGTGGAAAACTTCTTAAATCGGTATTCATAAAAGAAAAAAGCGATAAAAAAAGTACTCATCTTTGTTCAAATAATGAGTTGACAAATCATCTAACAACACTCAGTTATTAATTGAAGATAGCAAGCTATTCCGCAGATTATGGCGGCTATCCAATGCGGTCAAACATGGTGCACGGATTTTATATGTAGCTAAATTAGTCACTTTCACTGATTTTCTTAGAGAGAAAGTGATTAAGTTAGAGACACTCTTTAAAGACATAATAAATCTTCTTATTATAGGCTTCTAAATCATTGTAATATGTTGCAGACGAAGATGAACGCCATTAGGGAAATTATTGCTTGTCTGAAAATGGATTATATATTTAATAGAAACATATACATACTTTTAAACAGTCAAACTGCTTTAAAGTCCTTAAGTTAAGTCCAGTACATTTAGGACGGTTTTTGACTACTACAGGTCAACATGTCTCTACTCTGGAATCAATACGACATTAGCTAGAAAGAATACTTCAGGTAATAGTTTCGAACATCTAAGCAATCTGATCATAACGATAACATCATTAAAACTTTTACTAAGTTCTTTCTATGCCGAACTCTTAATAAAAGCTAGAAAGATTCAACGATATGTATGCAAATTGGCCACATTCCATTAAAATGAAATTTGATACTGTCATTGAAATGCACTGTGAAAATATCAATCTTGTTGTAGGTTTACTTACTGCAAATTAAGAAACCAAGCTTGAAGATTAGATCTACATTTCAATTGTATCTGTTGCCGTTGTGAAGAGGACGATGTAAGTACCTCTCATCTGAATTGTTTGCGCCCAGCATATGCGCTGCGCTGCCTTACTACTCTAGGAACTTCCTTTTCTAAGAATTTTGGTGAACTTAAAGAGCTTCCTTTAAAAAGCATTTTAAGCTTTGTAAAAGGTTGAAGATGGTTTTAAACGTAAACTGTAACACAATTGACCAATAAGCCAAAGTGGATTCCTTTGAATCGAAGGTACAACCTAACCTAACCTACTGTTTGAGATAAATAGTTCCGTTAGTGGAATGCTATAAAAGTTTTAAAGATATAAATTATTCATCATTATTTAATATGGGAAAGTAAAAGAGCTAACAGTCCACTAGCAGTTAAATACAATAAAGGAGTTTTATAGCTCTTTTTAATTCTCATCGTACAATCGTTGTGCCTACTGCATGTTAAGTTATTATTAAAGTCTATATTTGTTATTGGAATTTATTTTTAAATTAACAATATCTAATTTGGAATGATAACATTATGCATTAATATTTTATTGAGCTACTTAACATAAGCAAATTGTATTGTGTGCAATTGCACTTTACACAAACTTGAATTAATTAGTTCATTGAATATTGGCAAAGTAAAATAGAGTTTCACGTGCCAATAAAATTAATTTACAAGCAAATAATTTATATTTGCTTTTTAATACACGAAATTCTTTCACTTAACATAAAATCGAACTTATAAATTATTTGAAATCTTGCCAATATAATTCTCATTAAAATTTATTAAGTACGATTAAAATAATTTATATATATAACAAAATAATTTATTTCAAATTTAAACAAATTTTTTCAATAATTACGATTGATTTAATTACACGATACATAGATAATAACAATATAAATTTCTGATATATTTTAAATGTGGTCGTATATAATTTTAATCCGTTTTCAACTTGAAGTTTAATTATTTTAATAACAACTTTTAAATGAATAGCAAAACAATGCATTGATATAGCAATCCTTGCTCATTCATACCAAAAACAGAAATATTTTAGACTAATTTGGACTCGTACAATAATGAAATTGGCCAATCGTGCAAATTAAACAACATTGATTTAATGGTAATTATTGGCGCCATTGTTTCAGAGCCGGAACAGCTGAAAAGCATAGAAGACACAACAGCGCTCGGGGAAGGACTAGCACATAAACTAATTGGTACTGGAATTAATGATTTCATTTTTGTTGTATTTTAAATATGTTTACATGATTGTTAAATGCCAATTGAATTGCATTGTTTGCAGCATCATTTACTAGTACAATAAGGCCTGCTTACCACACTTGCATTACAACATTACAGCATTACAACATTACAATATACCATACCATACCATACTAGTGATTTCCAGATATAAAACTAAAATAACAAAAATAACAGACAGGCAGGCAGGCAAGCAGGCCAACATTCAG